CTGTTCGTAGTTGACACCCGTAATGACACATGAAAACATATATGTTTTCCAAGCCAAACGTGGTTACTGTAATACTTCCTGAACGCTACACTAATTCATCTGATATACAACATCTGATCACAAAGATATCAGAGTTTCATTAATGTGACAGATCTCATTATTTACACATGAGAAAATCTTCGAAAATCCTTACAGGCCTCAATCGTCTGTAAAATATCCACGAGCAACACCCTGCGAGACAGTTAAGGTGCATCAGGGTCTACGTATCACTTTGCATCAAGAAAAGCTGCCCTAGCGATAGCTATGAACCACAATTTTTAATAGGCCTCTATTTTTACAATGGTCGAAAGCTGCGAGCGGTTTTGCTGTGAGGCGAAAGGCACACGGTACTCCTAGAAGTTATATTATTAGAGAACAGGTCTCAAGAAATGTTCGGTAAATATTCATTTTTAATTGAATGCGTTTGGTGTTTGTGGCATTCTCGGTGGATTTGACGCGACAATTATGAAGAATAACAGGAATGCATTCGAGGTAGAAGACTTTCTTCCTTTAACAAAAGTTGTCATTGGAGATATCCAATCACCGAAATTCAACGAAGATTGTATTACGTAGTGATCTTTAAAAGGTTCGACCTCATAATAGTCTGGTCAACAGTTGTGGCTGATTATCAACGAGAGATAATTAGGTTTAGTTACTGTGCTAATTCAAAACGGGTCTAACTAGCAGGGTAAGGACTCAAGCGCCTGGTGTTCAGGGCGGAACATTGGCCCCGCGTTGCCTGATGGCTTCAACTGGTGATTACTTCTAACTAAAGATGCAAAAATAGATCTAGATGCGGACGTACATACACGCATGCATGCATGCATCCATGCATGCCGTTGACTGATGATAGTGACAGCTAGAAACTGAGCAGGCAACACTGAGCGACTCCAGCTTCCGTGTAGCGTAGACGCATTCAGTATACTATTGTTATTGCACGACAGCCATCATGCAGTCGGCAATAAAATGCAGAGAACGCTTGATAGAGACATCTCGATGATTGTTTGATAGGTGTCATAACCATTGCTTTCCCATTACTTATATAAGTATAATAAGCGCAGCGGCCGCTGTTTAATTGATGCAGACGGCCTTCGCCTTTAAAATGTCTGTGTCTAATATAATGCGTCTAGACGAAATGCTTATAATAGATAAGACACACTACTCTAATCGAAATTTCAATAAGTGGCTGAGCTAAACTAACCAGAGTAAAATATCCTGTAGTGCACGGCTGGGCGGTGATGATATTCCAAAATGAATAGCTAAATTACTCTTGTGAGTCCTTATCGCCTATTTTGGAAAAACGCAGCGAATGACAGGAGCTGGACGCTCTGTGACAGATTGCCCTAGGCCAACTAGCACGAATATGTCTACGGTGACTGACGCCATTACAGGTACGCGTGTACGGCACTTTTGGTCAATTCGTCTCATCACTAAATAATTTGTGTCCTGTGATGTTTTCAAATTGCAGAAGAAAAAAAAGAACTCTGTATTAGGCTCTTAGATTTTCAGGTATCGCCCTTTTTCCGTTTAGGATATGTCAATATAATGTCTTACATTCATGAACTAGTCTTTTCTGTTCTGGTAAACTTTGATTTGGAACTGGAAAGCCACTAATCATTATTTCCTGTGCGCTCAATGCTACCTTACCTACAGTTCTTTGCCACACCAAGACAGCCAAACAAACCTCAAGTGTCATAACTAGATAATAAATGTTGGGTTTTACGATCCTGCCGAGACAAAACTCGGTCCGTTCGAGTTTTTTTTCATCAGACACGCCGGACAGCGTTTTATTTAGGCTGGACTCTTTCGCTTTGATAGAATATGGCGCGCAGTGAGAATGTTCACGAACCTAAAAACGCTGGCATACCATTAATGGATTCCACTTTCATGCTTTGCCTAAGACGTTAGGCCGGGCTAACGACATCAGCGTTGTTTCGTATGTACGCTGCACAAGAGCCTGAATTCTTGATGTATCGTTTCTGTGCGCGCTAAGCTTACATAAGGAAACTGGCTCCTCTTATGCATCATTGCCTGTCATTTGTCCACTGTGCGTAGGATCGTATTCACCATACAGCTTGGATAGGACATCCGGCCGACATCGTCCGTATCTATAGTTCGCCGTGTCTGTCTTTGGGTATGCTGCTGTTGCTGTTGTTGACCTTGTCGTATTCGGAAGCTGGTACCGGCTCGTTTGCTTTCGATTGCAACAGGAGACGAGACTTCGGCCTTGGTAGGCACTACAGTCCCCTTTATTGATGGTAACCCTCCTCCGTAGCGACGCAGCAGTCAGCGGTCACCCAACAACTCCCCCAGCCATCATCAAGCTGAAGTTAAACCACGTCTGTTTTGACTGTCTCATTGTAAAGGTCCATTGTGTCGTTTGTCGGCCGAACCGTCGACCACCATTTGGCGCTAACCACTAGTGGCAGAAGACATCACGGATAGTTTTTTTTTTTTTATCTATTTTCGTTTCCGTTCGTCCTCCTTTATAAGCCTCGTAGTTCTTCACACGTTGTTCTATTTCGTGGCGGCCTTATTTTTGAGTTTAGCATCGTTGTTGTTTTAGCGACCTGAGCCGGCTACGACTTGTTCCCAATATTTATCTCTCAATAACGATTTCACGAGCAGTAGCAGCAGTGTTGTGGGAATGATAACATTTGGATTGTGTAAGCTCGGCTGGCTGGCAGGCAGTCAAAATCAGCAGTGCAATGTATTGTTAAACGGACATAATCATTGATGCTGGGAAGGGCCACCTTGAACAGATAAAGTCAGTAGCAGTTCCTGTGGCGATATTTATATGGCTATGTAGCCATAAATTTATGTAACTCGTTTGTGGAAGTAGGCAGCTCAATTTTTCGTGGCTGAGGGGTAAGCCCCTAGTTCCCGTTTAACTAGATGAGCGTTATCTAATTGTAGCCAAGCGTACAGTTTCTTAGAAACAGATGTCAAATTGAGCTAGAATACGGTTTTTGCATCGATATTTGACAGATTTGATTGTTGAAAAGAAAACACTTGCCATGTCGTAGAATTACACCAATCCTGATATGTTGAGCTTGCAATTTCTGAAGATAAATTTGAATTGACAATTGAAATCGTCGTTTACACCAGGGACGTATTGATGACAATACAAAATTACCTACTGCAAGCAGAAGGCTGAACTGCTAGTATTCCTAGAGCCCACCAAAGACCTAGCCCACAGAGCGCTTCTTATTTTACGTCTCCACTGTAAATATTGCGTTAATAACATTAACATTTAATTCTGATTTAGTAAGCAATTTTCTATTGATTTAAACTGTGTTCTCAAAAACCAATGGTCAGATCGTGAATCGTCCTTGGGATAGTTGCCTCTCTATGGTGACCGACGCTTATCCTCGACGCTGAATTTGGTAATCCGCGATGTGCTGCTTTGCGTGGTACTGTTGGGTTTGGTGGCGTGAAGAAATTAACCCAGTTAGTGGAAATAATACTGCACGCAAGTATAGGGAAAATATAGTTTCAAAATGTCTGTATAGTTCTGCTGTACAGACAGAATGCTAAGTGAAGGTGATACAAGTTGAAACAACTACGGATGTCGACCTCATCAAACACCATTTGTCTTAAACTATAATAGAAAAACAGAATTACGTCTGTACATCCGTTACATTTTCTAGCCGTGCTTCTGAATATCTGTTCCACTAGGAAGCGTTTCGGAGCAGAACCAAAATTTGTGTCACTGCTGTTTTCCACTATATGTCACCTTTTTCCTTTATCTGCGGATACCTGTAGCTGAAGTTGTTTCTCGACAGAGGAAAACCATGTACGATTCAAGTACCCCACTACTTAGTGATTATAGGCGTCGAAGTCCCCTGAAGTTCTTTTCGAAAAAAAAACTACTTCTAGGCGTATTTCACGATCGGGCATAATATCTTTATATGCATGCTATCGTTGTTCAAATGGTCGCGTTTAATTTGTGAACAAGATAATTACTCAATATATTAGTTCACGGCGCTCAGCTTGTCCTTATCGCTAATATCTAAGTGACTTCATCCGACGCAAAGACCAGTGAAAAACACTGAAGTACCATAAAGTGGTAGAATTGCCAGTTAGTTGTCGATGGGGCAGCTACCGCGTTCAGCGGCAATACGTTCATTTGCCTACGTTCGATACCGATCGACGCCATTAAAAGCGTCCCCTGATCAAGGGGTGCAGATGGTTTAATATTAGCTCAGATAACGATTCACGAAGACTGGACGCAGAAATAGAAAATACAATGTTTGTACAGTACAGTGGGTATGTTCGAGAGAGAGCTAACGACGAATAGAACCGAAAGAAATCCAGAATTATCCACAATTCTAAAATGGTGAAATTTAGCAGACGAAAGATGATTCACGCCACCACCAGCGTCAACTACTAGCTAGGTCCGATTCCACCTATCTTTCCTAGAGGTGCATAAACACGGCCTATCAATCGGACTCCTCGCTACAGGTGGAAGATTTACGATACGAGTGGGTTGTAAGGTTACTCGAAGCCAGGCTTATAGTTAGTGCGTATACAACAAGAAGATTGCCCTATGTGCAAAATCTGCTAACGGAGGGCAACCTTAAAGATGCCGGCTAGATAATACTAAGTATTCGTTTTTTAATTCGCGCCAAACAGATACTTACTTCTTACATGTACGTTTTCAAGATACAGTTATGTAGATTGAATTGTTCACTATATTCTTATTATTATTAGAAGCAGAACGTGCTTACTCAATGTTAAATGTATCCTTACGCATGCTCTGGTCAGTTTCGTCAAAAAATATATACAAGGAAAATTGGCGTAAAAACGTGCACGTTTGTTTGTCCGCCCACTGTGACACAGTATATTACGATTATACTAGACCCGGCTAGGTAATACAGTTTCACCCTGTTCTAATATTCTATATTTTTTTGTTATCAAGTTTAACTTAATATTTACTTGATTCTCTCGTGTTCTTTCAGGGCCTCACAAAAAATCTTGCCTTTGCGATAGGAGCTGCTGCCTTAGGCTCTGCTTTCCAGCATGGTTATAATACAGGCGTGGTCAACGCACCCCAAAAGGTACCACAACAGTGTTATAGTTTAATTATTTTCGTTATAAATCTAGTTGATTATTTCTTAACTGAAGTTTATCTATTATTACCTTTATTTATGATAGTCGTATAGGATTATAATATAATGCAGTCATATGGAAAGTTTAACGTTCAGCTCAAAGCAGTTGGTAGTTGACTGTGGTGATAAGATTGTCTCAGTTGGTAGGCGGCGACCAATCTAATGTTGTATCAACCGCATGTCGTATCATTTAGTCAAGGAAATCGCTATAACAGAACTCCTCGATTAATGGTTTGCCACCTGTTAGCTAAGACAACAGCAATTTGTTCTCTTGTATTTATGTCGAAGGCTAAATTGCCCATCAAAAAGAGCTTCTAAGGGGTAGGGAGCAGAACTTCACGACAACACCAACCCGTATATTCCCATATGAAGCGAACGGTAAAAGTGCTCACTGGTGTGCCCATGACGAGCTTGCGTTTATTACGATGGCGTCGAAAAAGGCATACATCTTTCAGGTAGCATTGGTTTTGTTGTTAGCACAAGTGAGGGTCTTTAAAATGTTCTTGTCGCTAAAAAACCCACAAGTGTAGTCCTTGGCAAGGTCACACGTTCCATCATGGCCCATTAAAGTAACCCCACGTGATTATTCTTTCTATATTTACAAAGAAATCGGTGGTTAAACGTAGAGGAAAAGCGAGCGAGCCGGGCCTCGTAGTTGTGGGTCACCCATTGTATTAGCCATTGTTTTACTTTTAGCCCTTGTTGCTTTCGTTGACACCTATAGCAGTAAAGGACGGTACGTTATTCGGCTATTGTAAATGGACGACTGTTTTTTATATGAAGATATAGAAGTGGGTGAAAACACTGCACAAACATCGTGCACAGTTTCAATCTTTCCTAAATGCTGAATTGGGATATTTGGAAATGCCAATTGTTAGCGTTTTAAGCAGTAATAATGTCTTTAAATTCGACGATACGTAGATGGCAGACAGTTTTATCATTTGTTGTTGTCGTTTCTATAAATTTACTCCTATACGTACAATCACACATTGTTTTGCGTTTCGTTGTCGTTTACGTTACGCATAGATCAATCTTTAATAGGTGTTTATTCATTTATTTTTTTTTATTTGAAAACCGCGCGGCTATCGCTGTTGAAGCATTGCCACTTTTCAGTTTAGGAGGCTTCATGTATTTGGGTTTCAATTATTGAAACAAGTCGCCGAGAAATGCTCATACGGCGCGTAATTATACATTACGATGAACGCCATTAGTATTCAGGTTGTGACTAGATGCAACGGGTTTGCAGGACCGACTCAAAAAAAATGCTGCTTCGTAAAACGAGACGCAACATGTTCTTCGTAAACGCTGAATTGTGAACCACACCGCCCGGTGATTTAATTTTTTTTACTTTCATTGCGATATTTCAGCACGTGGAGGCGTTTATTAATGACACCTACAAGCACAGATTCGAGGAGTATCCGACTGAGAGCACGATTAAAATGATTTATTCGATAATTGTCTCAATCTATTGCATTGGCGGAATGATGGGTGGACTACTCACGGCCTTTGTTTCTGAGAAATTCGGCCGGAAAGGTGGACTGCTCTTGAATAATATATTCGTCCTTATCGCTGCCGCGCTCATGGGCTTCTCTAAGGTAGGTGTATCGCACTCCTTTAAATGTCCCACTACCTTTTCACACAGATTTCAATAACGGCAACGGTCGATATACGAGGTGTGGTAATAGCATAGAGGGTGCTTGGCTGATGGATTCAAATTCTGGCATAGGCACATTTCGTCTCATGATGGAAGCGAGCCTTCTGATCGGATGCTTTGTGGCGCCATCGGACCTGAAACTTGAACCTTGCGGTAACAAAACTGAAAGACCGATGTCCTGTAGCATAGACCTTTCCCCTAAGAAAGTTGCCCAGTGAAGTAACGTTCCGAATTAGCATAATGTGATCGCGCACCAGTGGTTCCAGAGGCGTCCTCAAGGCTTCTAGTGCGATTACAAGCGCTAATGGAAATGGGGCAGCTTTTTCGATTTAGAAAAGCTCTAAACAGGTAGCGCACAACAGTATCCTTTCCTGATGAAGTGTTGATTCGATCATATGTACATTGACTTCAATGAAGATGGTAGGTGAAAATGAAGTTGAAAATCGCTATGTCAAGACGGTTCGCATCAAAACAAAAATGTGTACTGCTGAAAACGATTCGATGAAAACATCAACAAAACGAACTGACTGGTTACCTTTAAACTGAATATTTAATTAATCTGATAAGCAGACCGATAACAGCCTCTTCACTTCATTGTCAATGTGCTGTTGCAGAGGTGCCGATCTTACGAAATGATTATCATGGGTCGTTTCTTCATTGGAGTGAACAACGGTCTCAACGCTGGTTTAGCCCCACTATACCTCAATGAGATCTCTCCGACGCAAATGCGTGGCGCCGTGGGTACGATATATCAACTCACGGTAACAATAGCGATCCTCGTATCAAATATTCTCGGGCTTGGAAATCTGCTTGGCACAGACGAGCTATGGCCGGTTTTGTTTAGTACGTAAGATAGACATTAACGCTTCTGCGACCATATGAGCCACACCTTCCTCATTATTGCCGTTGTAATATAAAGCGTAGGCACTAACATGCTCGAACTAGGTAAACGAAGGGGCTGGCTACCTTGGGCTTGGGTGTTCGCTTGCAGAAAATGGCGAAATTCATAGCTAAAATATCACACTCTACAACCTAAAATCTTCAAGCCAATGCCTTTTCCTAACAAATCAGTTACAAGTCGTCACTATTACTGATATATTTAAAAGGGTCTATAAGTGCCTAATTTAGGACCTTATCAGTACGATGTTTCGTTTCGTATTTCGTTTCACAAGTAAAAATGTCTGACTTTTGATTCTGGTCTCTTTTCTATCGACCCGAATTTTCCTGACCAGGTTTTACGATCGTACCATCCATTTTGATGCTATTGACTTTCCCGCTGTGTCCTGAATCACCTAAATACATTCTAATTAATCAGGGCAAAGATGTCGCCGCGCAACAAGGTAATCGTTGATTACGGGCTTTTCTGCCCTTTGTTCATTTCGTAAAAGCAATCGCATAGACTTTTTGCGTTTCAAATCTATTGTGAAATAGTGCAAACCCTTGAAGGGCAATTTTACTTCATTTCATTCAGATAGCAGCAGGCTTACAAGTGCGTATGCCAATGACTTTAACTACATCTAGCTCTAACGTGGCTTCGAGGTTCTCTCGAAGTACACGACGAAATGGACGAGATGCGCGTCGAATTCGAGCAGATCAAAATGGTTCCCCGTGTGACACTTTACGAAATGGTACATAACATCGGACTACGAACGCCGCTCATAATCTCAATGATGATGATGCTTAGTCAGCAACTTTCTGGAATCAATGCGGTTAGTACCCTGTTTCTTCTTTTCTGAGCTGGAAAATTGTCGGTAACAGTTCCATAGTGATGACGGGCAAATTATTTCAACGAGAAAGGAAGACGGTTAGCTCATCAGCTTACAAATTAGTAAAGTAGTATATTGACGTTCAAGCTTACGAGGGCACGCTAGCCTAAGGGTTACCAACTACGAGAAGATTTGCCGTATCAGAATTTGCTACAAGCAGTCAATATAAGAATTCTATCTAAAAGACACACTTATTTGTTGTATTAGGAATGCACAGTAGCTGAAATTTGTCTCCCGGTCACAATATTGTGTCTCTCCTGTTTTTACGATAAACCACAGGCGATTTTCTTCTCAACGAACATCTTTCTTGACGCCGGTTTGAGCAATTCAGAGGCGACTCGAGCTACGATCGGTGTTGGCGTCATTAACACTCTAATGACGCTTGTATCACTAGTCCTCGTTGAGAGAGCAGGCCGTCGCACGCTGCATCTGATTGGTCTGGCAGGAATGGCCTGTCTCACGGTCGTTCTTACGCTCTGTCTCGCCCTGAAGGCATGTATCATCTGTCAATGTCAAAGCTCGATCACCTGGAATCGGGGTGCTCTTTATTAGGGTCAGTCAATTTAAGTCGGCTGCTTAGTAATCAAACGAACAAGCAGACGACGAACGAGCAATAGAGCTTGACAATATTTTAATTTTTGGGAAGCTAAATGCGTATAGTGTAGATTCGTGATTAATATATATATTTTTTTGCTTTTTTTTGTTTCCGGCTCTACACTTTGCAGGATGAAATCAAAGAACTATCGTACCTTAGCGTAGGAGCTGTTGTCGGCTTCGTTATCATGTTTGCCACGGGTCCAGGCTCGATTCCGTGGTTCATGGTTGGTGAGCTCTTCGGCCAGGGCGCACGACCTCTGGCCACGTCCCTTTCAGTTGCGGTCAATTGGACAGCTAACTTTGTTGTTGGAATGACGTTTCTTCCTCTCACAGGTAGACTCATCCATCATAACGCATACGCTCGTTCGTCCGTTATTATTATTCAAGATTTCTTTTAATCAGCCACTGGATTTTGTGACGTGCGACCATCTATGGTACACTGATGCATTGGTAGTACGCTGTGGTATTATATGTACAGCCGAAAAAATTACGAGTCGCCCATCAAAAACATACTTTATTTAGAACTACAAACACCAGACTACATACAGATTCTCATCGTTCGTCGATACGCATGTCCTGCACTCTTACAGGAATTCTGGGTCACTATACATTCCTGATCTTTACGGGTTTCTTAATCTTCTTCTGGATCTTCACGTATCGACGAGTTCCCGAAACCAAGGGCAAAAGCGTTGAAGAAATCGCCGCTATCTTTCGCCAGCGAGCGTATCAGTAGGCAGGAGCACTTGCTAGATAACAACCTGTCACACTCAATCATCCTTATTCGATCTATATGACGTTTTCAGTTACCACTCGACTTCGGATACTTTTCTCCTTTAAATCTAGAGTTGTAGAAAATAAGTTCTGTGTTACCAAACGCGTCAATGCTCCGAAATATATTGTTCCACCGACATAAACTAATCAGTAGGCTCATTGCTGGTCAACGGAAACGTCCTGTGAGACTGTATCATCCGACGAAACCCTCTGCAGTGTCACTTAGTAGAGCCCACAAAGGCTACGACAAAAGGCTTAGTTCTCCGTGGCAGATTCTGAGCGAAGGACTGCCATTGACAAGACGGATCGGTTACTAGCTGTTGTTTTTTGATAGCCTGACTTAGATGAGATAGCTGAGCGTGATAAGAGGCTTAAAGGGGCGAAACGAGACGGGTTTCGGTAGTATAATTGTTCCGACAAATCATTATGTTTTAGAAAAAAAGTCATAATAACTTTAATAGAAACTTCATTATAAATTATGATAAACGAATATATAACCGTAGCTAACTACAACGAGCTGCCTTGCGCTACGCAACGGGCTGGAAATTTCGTCTTCTACTAGGAAGTGGTCGCGATCGACATGGAAACGATCGCCTTCAATCCAGACGCTCGCAATAGAACAACTCACGCACTAACAATTGAAAATATTCATTAGATAGTTATCCGAAGATAGATATGTACATTGATTAAGAAAGGTCTGCTGACAAAACCAGCGCTACACGACAAAAAGAGGAGGTATAGACTAAAATATAGGCAATCGTACATACGTTTACTGAATATTTTACCCAGGAAGACCAATAATAAAAAATATCCATGATTACATAGACAGCCCATGAAATCTATACGTATTTAGAGATGGATACACCTATATGTCGAGAAACGATTGGGACAAGGTATCGTTTATTCCGTACAATGCATGGCCTGCTGAATACAATTTACTAGTGGCAAATAGTGAATGGAATAGTACGATATATATACATAAGGGACGAAATTGAAGAGATATTATTACAGAAGATCTAATCTAATAACACAAAACAGTGAAGCCTATAAACGGTCTTGGCGAGAGAACGACTTTAGGGCTTCAGTATATATAGGCAAAAGATACCGCAACGTCGTGCAGCCAATAAAAGCAAGATAAGGGTGCGGGAGCCGCTAAATTTGACAGTCGCCATTGTGGCTGTGCCAGCAGTCATCCTTCGTTATGAGCGTATAGTACCATTGATCGTTTGCATCCTATGGCGCGCTATAACGGTGTTTTTCATACATTGGAAACGATTGTAGCACATTGATTTCGTACGAGTCTGACGGAAACACTGTATCTGATTTCACCGAACTCAATAAAAGAGCTATAGTTCCTGTAGGAGTCTAACAGTAACAAGTTGTGACCTTTCCAATACTCTAGATCAATATCGTGACATCGTAACGATTGGCTGGAAGTTGGACCTCTTAGCTGATATAACTCCAGTTTGGGAAAGCAATTCAGATGACACGAGCCCCATTGAGGAATGGGGTCGAATTATCTTCGATGCGTCGCTTTCAAATTGGTTCACCCTGCAATGTTCAACGTAATATTTGTTTTCTAAGCGTTCTAAATCAATTGGCATAATATAAATAAGAAAATAAAACCAATAAAAACGCTAGTTTGGCAAGTGATTTTGCAACGTATTCGAAACAAGTAAGTATCGGCTTGCACAACTTACAGCGGTTTACCTTTACGCCAAGATTCAGGATTCCAAGTACATCTTGAATGCGCTACAGAACTTTCCTAATATTCTATTTGTTATTGACCATATTTTTCCATTTCATTAAGCTTACGTATAACTTATTTTCTGTTGGCCCGCAGTTTTGCCGCAATAGCACAAACGAATAAATGTGATATGTGGTAAGGCTGACCGATGAGTGAATTGGCCTCTTTTAATCTTTTTCAATGCAGCGAATCCTCAAAGCAGCATTTGATGATTACCGGACGGTTGCTGTTATCAACTAGGCTAACTATTTCGATGAAGTTCCCACGCTCGGCTAATGGATTTCGCTATGCCATCAGCAGATTTCAGAGATAAATCAGTAAACAGTCAGCGCTGTCCGCTAAAGAAGTATTCATACGCTAAGTCTCTATCAAAAAATATGGAACATGAAGTTTGCATATGAACGTGAAGACACGCTAGTGAGTATTTCCATCCATATCTCGAACCACATAGCGATACCTCGATGCGTTTTAGAATCTTCGTTCAGGAGAAGCGTAAATGAATGGCACAAGAAAGCCACCCGCCTTCACTTTGGCACACGATCCCAGTTGATTTGAAACCAGTTAATGACCATTTATTCCCAAGCCTGTGGCTTCATGGACCTAACGTTGAAGCAGACACACCAATGAATCGCTTATCAGAGAGACACTGCTAGACTCCAGGTCCACAGTCTGACGACAAAGTTCTCTATCGAGCCATATCTCACAGCGCCTTTAAGCTGCGCTGAATACCAATAACATAGCAACAATAACAACCGTGAATATATGGTCAAACGACCTATAT